ACATTATCCATTCAGCCCCCACATACAGAATTCACAAGTCTCTTCCTCACAGAGCGTGTTGTTGTCTCTCTCAGGAAGTGAAGCACAGGACCATGAACAGACTCGGTCAAGGGGGAGTCTGCTGTCCCTGCTTCTGATCCCAGTCACAGCCTGTGTGCTCCTCATAGTGTGGGCAGTAAGTTAACAATGTGGATGGCTTGCTCAGGCTGTATGACCTTGTCCGGTCCAGGAGACCTACAGGGTATGCAGTTTCTTGTTCCAGCCCAGCACTACTACTACACACCTAAATCAACTCTTCAACTAATCATCAAATGTGTTAGTACTTGGCTAGAACGAAAGCCTGCACACACTGGCTCTCCAGGAGCAGGACTGAAGAGCACTGGTGTATGGTTTTGGATGCTTCAACGTGATACTCTGTTCCACAGATTACATCTAGAAGAGGAGGCTCCCCAGAGAGTAACCTTGACAGAGGCCATAGAAGGCTGTCCCCTGATGTGGAACGGACCATAACCATCCCTATTCCACCACTGACCAGTCTACCTGACACACCAATAATGGGGGAAGCCTGATCACCACTGAGGGAGCAGATGAAGCCAACATGAAGCACTGCATAGAGAGCAGAAAGCTCCCCCTCTGGACTGGTGTCACTCTGAACTGGTATCTCTGATTCTTCTTGGGTGATATCTCTGAGAGAAGAGAGCTGAAATCTCTGATTTGGTATCTCTGACAAATCGGAGCTGATATCTCTAAAATATATGGGCTGATATAGTGGTCTCACTTAAACAAGGGACAACGGCGATAAGACATTAATCAACCGCTTACTAGAACTATATAATTTGGACTGTCATAGATTTTGACACAACACCATGTATCACAGGTTCCTACCTTGTCTATGTCTGTCTAATCAGAGATCTGGACATTACGCAACATCAGATACATTCTCTGCTGAGACTGGACTTTGTTGTTGCCTAAAGATCTATTGCTGCTGTGTGGCCACAGAGTGTGTGCTGACACTTTTTATGTCTCACCCCCTCTTTGAGTCACATCATCAGTGTGTGTGACTACAGTATGACAGTTTAACTACCAGCAGTGTGTGTGTTTGTGTGTGTGCGCGCGTGTGTGTGTGTGTGTGTGTGTGTGTGTGTGTGTGTGTGAGAGTGAGTGAGCTACCCTGCTCTGGATGATCTCAGTGAGGGCCATAAGAGGGGCTTGTTCTCGCCACAAAAGAAAAGAGCCGTAGGCTGAAGGAAATACCAGTTCCATGCTAACCGACAGAGAAAGATCCTTATGAATCACAAACCGTTTGATCCTCAATCCCCAGACAGCAGGAAATCAGGATTCTCTGCCATCTCCTCTCATGCTGCTCCATCACACTCATTATGAAACCTTCCCACTGGGCACGGACGTCAATTCAACGTCTATTCCACGTTGGTTCAACTTCATTGTATTGAAATGATGTGGAAATAATGTTGATTATACCAGTGTGTGCCCAGTGGGTTAGGACTGACTGATTTCAAGCATAACTCATAGCTTCTCTTTAACTCCCCTCTAGTGGTCAGATACAGTAACTATACTTGGTTCCCTCAGCACCTGCAGTAGGTCTCAGCTGTAGCAGTGTCATCACTGTGCAGATGACCGAGGGAGGTTTTTGTACAGCTCTATATCACTGTGTGTACACATAGGCACTTTATGTAGATAGTGTAGTTTAGATAGTGTTTGTAGTGTACATGTGTCTCATGTTTGAGTCCAGCGTCATTCACAGTCTCATTCACAGATCTAACAGTCAGTAACCTGCTCATGAAAATAGTTAATATAATGCTAGAAGATTGCATCAATTTAAATCAGACATTTGGTTGAGGTCCATATGAGGACTTGTTTTGGGGGGCTGAAGTGATTGTAACTTTGAAGTAATGTTGAGGTCAGAACACCTTTTGTTTTACTCCTGTAGATCTTGCTATGGACAGGTATTGTGTTTCAAAACATCATCACTTTTATATACACTTTCAGGCCATAACAAATACTATAAGTCATAACCATGATGATGATGGTTATGTGATCTGAATGATTGCTTTAGCACCATATTGTAACATGTCACAGTTGACCTCATCTAGTGACCAGTGTTCCATGTCACTGTCTCTCTCCCCTCAGACACTGCAGTCTGATTGAGGGAGGTTTTTGTGTGGCTCGGTATCACTGTGTGAACGAAACACCACTGCTGTGGTAACTCTGACAGTAGTAATCTCCTGCATCTTCAGCCTGGACTCCACTGATGGTCAGAGTGAAGTCACTATGAGTTCCACTACCACTGAATCTAGATGGAGTCCCAGACTGAAGTGTTGTAGCATAGTAAATAAGGAGTTTAGGAGCTCCTCCAGGTTTCTGTTGATACCAGGCTAGATAGTTATTGTTATAGACATCACTGCTGGTTTTACAGTTCAGAGAGACTGTCTGTCCTGGGAGAACAGCTTTCACTGTAGGAGTCTGAGTCACAGTGATCTGTCCTCTGGATTCTGAAAAATTGAATAAAACATTAATATGAATAAAATATTACATATAGTAATGAATAGTTCTGAATATAAATATTATTATTGATATACATTACCGTGGTGTAGATTTAATACATTTTCAACAATAAATACAGAAAATGTTAACCTTGAAGCAGAGGGCAAGTGTCCAGATGAAGATGGTGATAAAAGTCATGGTTGTTGTGGGTTCTGTTGTCATGAAGGACAGCTCTCAGTCATGAAGTGTTAAACTCACAGCGCTATAAACACTCCCAGAGCACTGACACATATTTACTATTGATGTAGTGTAAACTCTGACAGTAGTAATCTCCTGCATCTTCAGCCTGGACTCCGCTGATGGTCAGAGTGAAGTCACTCCCAGATTCACTGCCACTGAATCTAGATGGAGTCCCAGAATGGTGTGTGTTCCCACTTAGATCAGTGGGGGCGATGCATTATTCAAATCAAAGTTTCAAATCTATTTCTGTTTCCAAGAACGCTCACATCTTTAGAATGTATTTTATCCTGCATGTGTTATCTTGTATAACATCAAACAGCAACTCTTTACTCATATCACTAATGTATGATGTTTCAGATGCATTATGCAAATGACTGTTTCAAATCAGTGTCGGCCTGGGGATCTGAACTAGCAACCTTTTGGCTACTAGGCCAACGCTCTAACCGCTAGCTACCTGCCTTCCCTTTAATAACATCAAACAGCAAATGTTTACTCAAATAACTAATGTATGGCAACTTTTACGTCACACCACCATTTATTTTTATTCTGATGATGATAAGACATTATGAACTGTCTGTTCACTCATGCTTGGTCTCTTATGTAAGTTCCTCTAATCAGTTAGTGAACACTTCTCTAAACTAAAGCTGGTAGGATTCCTCTGGTAGTGTTGTCTGTCCTCTGTGACTTTACCACCACTGTTAAATCTGAGATCAACATCTTTAATAAAGGAATATACAACATGGATCACTATCAGTACTGCTGCTGCTGTTGTCTTTCATATGGACAATATGGAGGAATACTAGCAACACTGGATCTAATGTTGGACTGTACCTACAGACTAGGAGAACACCTGATACACAGAAGAAGGAAAAAATACTCATATCTGGATTGAAGATACAATTCATATTTTTATTATCTAGAAACAGCTTATATGAACTGCTTGTTTTACCTGGAAGATGTTATAGTGTATTTGTGTTGAATGTGATTATGTATGAGTGATCTTCACTGTAACAGCTGCAGCATCACAACACAGAGAGGTTTTTGTACCAGCAGTAACAGGGATTGTATCACTGTGGAGGACTTTTGGTAGCGGCACCAGACTTGATGTTGGAAGTAAGTAAACACAAAATTAACTGTTTTATTCAGCTTTTGATCTTGTGTTTCAATTTCTCTATCAATTTATCCTCGAATATATTGAGGATTTTTTTACTTACATTTTTTAGTTGATTTCTGGACAAATATACTAGGCCTACACATACTATGGCCAATTTGAAAATAAACGCAATTACATCTTATCAAATTTGACCTGCATTTTTCTATGATGAGAGTGATTAGCCTACATTTTAGATTAGGTGTATGAATAAACATACTGCACCTTGTAGGAAATGTTCAATAAACAGGTTTAGCAGTTTTGGGGGGAAAACTAAACAAAAAACACTTTATTTCAAATGAACAAGATAAAATTATCTTTGGCAAGTATTCATACCATATTAGAGTCAATGATTTCAACCACAGTCTAAAGAAATGTAGCTTGCCCAATGGGCAGGAGGTTTTTGTACGATCAGTAATAGGGATTGTATCACAGTGGTACACTTGATATTTCTTTCTGATTACACTTATTAAGTATGTTATTCTTAAACTCTGTCTCTATGAAAATATTGTGATTTTAGATTTTCAAAATGTTTTAATTGCTTTTGACTGACCCTTCTTTCTAATACAATTTTATTGAATCGAAATATTTTAATTGTAGGTTTATTTATGTCTGATTTGTATGATTGCAGACTATAACTCTTACTTCTGGTATGATTACTATTTAATTGCATTGGATATAATAGTCATTATTGTTGCATTGAGTTCATGGTAGCCTTCACTGTTAGTGTGAAGACAAAGGATCTCAGTTATGTTTGTAACAGACTTCATGATCTACCACGGTTGATATGTGATTAAAACTCATCTATGCTCAGATTTTGCAAATACTATGAATATGGGAAGGCTATTCTGACCAGATCCATTCCTAAACAATATCTGTATGACATGTATAACTGACACCGTATGACTAGTAACTCTAGTTATTTAACCACTTTGGTTCATAAATCTGCTTTGTATCATATTACTTTTAAACAATCTAACTTTTACATTCATATTTAGAAGGCATTTCCATTTCACTTTATTTTGATTTGTCCTTTGCTGAAGATAATCTCTTACTGTAACTGTACTTGATGTAGTTACTTAGTTGATGTGTTCTGTTTCTTCCAGGTAACAGTTCCCCCACCCTCACCGTCCTGCCCCCCTCTAGTGAGGAGCTGTCCAGTACAACAACAGCCACACTGACGTGTCTGGCCAACAAGGGCTTCCCCTCAGACTGGACCATGAGCTGGAAAGTGGACGGGACCAGCAAGAAGCAGGAGGCCAGTCCCGGGGTCCTGGAGAAGGACGGCCTGTACAGCTGGAGCAGCACACTGACTCTCACTGCCCAGGAGTGGACCAAGGCAGGAGAGGTGACCTGTGAAGCCCAGCAGAAATCCCAGACTCCAGTCACCAAGACCCTGAGGAGGGCTGACTGTTCTGGGTAGGACCCCTCAGTCACACAGCCCTGTGGAGAGAGGATGCTGGTTCCTCTGCTTTGACTTGCTTTGTTCTAAAATCAGTCGTTCTCTGATTTAGAGATCACTCTGGTGTGGACTAACAGGGGTTTGGCTTGAGTTCATGTGTCAATCCATTCTGTAGATTGAGATTTTGTTCGTTTTAGATTTGATGTGATCTGCTTTTATTCACTATCATGTTTGCTTTGATGCTTTGATTGTGTGATAATGGATTAAAATAAAGATTTCTTTTTGGAATGCATATTTCTGTTGTTTTTATTAATAAACTGGATCATAGATACTGTATATTTGCAATATTCTGGAAAAATGTGTATTCAGTAAGGCTGATTAATGATGTCTTTAAAAACTGTCAAGTCTAAAACTCACTCTAACATCATAATTGACCAGTAAGTAATACTATCACAATATACTATGATATAATAGAAGAGCTGCTGCAATGATAGTAGTTGACTGTCTTCATTCATCAGGATACTGAGTCTGTGTCAGACGTGTTTGACTTGACAGACTTTACAGTAATAAAAGAAGAACTATCAAACAGTCAACCGATATCTTGGACTCTCACTTGTGTTATAGGCTGTGATTCGAAGCTAAATATATTTTTTTTAATAAAAAATGTTACAAGTGCCACTACTTCAAGATGTAGCAGTGTTTCAAAAAACTTGGTCCTCGGGACCCCAAGGGGTGATGATTAGTTGATTATTTTTCATCAGCAGTGTAAAGCTAGGGCAAAAACCAAAACGTGCACCCCTTGGGGTCCCGAGGACCGAGTTTGGGAAACGCTGCTATATAGTGTAGTGACAGTCTTCTCTACCTCCAACCCCCTGGGAACAGAGTGAACATTTGGTGACAGTACTGCTCTATTCTGGGACAAGCAGAACCACCCAGCCCTGTCTATGTAAATCTCAGTTTCACTCCCACAGATACCAGTGTAGTAGTTGAACAGTTTCACTGCCTGTAATACCCTGGACTGGGCCAGATGTGAGGGAGTGGACTGGTTTTAACCTCTATGGTGGATTCAGGGAGGGACTCATAACAGATATGCTACCATGTAATTAATGACAGATAAAATGGATATTATACTTTACATAGATAGTGTATGTAGTGTACATGAGACTCATGTTTGAACCCAGCATCATGTCTCATTCACAGATCTAACAGTCAGTAACCTGCTTATGAACACAGTAAATATAATGCTACAAGATCACAATTTAAATCACACATTTGGTTGAGGTCCAATTTGGGACTTGTTTTGGGGGTCTGAAGTGATTGTAACTTTGAAGTAATGTTGAGGTCAGAACACCTTTAGTTTTACATCTGTAGATCTTGCTTTACATATTGACAGAAAATGGGTTTCAAAACATCAATTAAATGTTATATACACTTAAAGGCCATGACAAATATAACAAGTTATAACGATGATGATGATGTTAATGATGATGATGATGGTCATGTGAACTGAATGATTACTTTTTAACCATATTTTCACATGTCACAGTTGACCTCATCTAGTGTTCCATGTCACTGTCTCTTCCCCCTCAGCACCTGCAGTAGGTCCCAGCTGTAGCAGTACAGTCACTGTGCAGTCTGACTGAGGGAGGTTTTTGTACGACTCTGTATCACTGTGTGAACACCCAGACACTGTTGATGTAGTGTTCACTCTGACAGTAGTAATCTCCTGCATCTTCAGCCTGGACTCCACTGATGGTCAGAGTGAAGTCACTCCCAGATCCACTGCCACTGAATCTAGATGGAGTCCCAGACTGAAGTGTTGTAGCATAGTATATAAGGAGTTTAGGAGCTCCTCCAGGTTTCTGTTGATACCAGGCTAGGTCGTTATTGTTATAGACATCACTGCTGGTTTTACAGTTCAGAGAGACTGTTTGTCCTGGGAGAACAGCTTTCACTGCAGGAGTCTGAGTTACAGTGACCTGGCCTCTGGATTCTGAAACAGAGATGTCATGTAGAAATAGCATTCAATTGTTAATACATTTTTCCATGTAGCATATGAAATTAAACTGTAATGAGATTATATAGCCTAATATTGCAATTGTCCGGGTAATTTTCTGTAAAATATATTACCTTGGAGACAGAGGGCAAATATCCAGATAAAGATGGTGATAAAAGTCATGGTTGTTGTGGGTTCTGTTGTCATGAAGGACAGCTCTCAGTCATGAAGTGTTAAACTCACAGGGCTATAAACACTCCCAGACCACTGAAGCATGTGCTGTCTATGCAGAGCATCATCACTATGCAAATAATCTTATGGTCTTCTCCCCATCCACCATGTTTCAGTAAAGTGTCCTACATGTAAGTAGTCTTTCTGGACAGAGACTGATGTGATGTAGAAACATGATAGCTATGCAATCACTGATATGGTTTCTGATATAAGTGCTGAATGGGGACTGATAGAATGACTTTAGACATCTACAAGTGGAGCATAACGTTAATGTCTAAAAATAATGTTTTTAGACCAGATAGTATCTGCTTTCTGTCTCCCTCCCTCCATCACACAGACTGCAGTTAGTAACTGCAGTCTGTGTGATGCTGCTGATTGACTGCTCAAAAGGGGAGATCTCCACAGCTCTGACGTCTCCAGTCTCCTGCTTCACCTGCTGCTCTCTGGAACTACCACAGTGGTGTAAAGGAGGATGTATGGGTAATGTTTAAGTGGTATATTGTATGTGTTGGAATCATGTTGATTAAATTATAGCTATTCAAAACACAGGTCATCTTTAGGGGTTTTGATCATTGCACATAATCTCTATTCAGATTGGTTGATGGTTTTCCTTGAGTTAATCAACAGAGTCAACATGTAGTTAACGGTCAGGAGAAACATTTAGTGATCAGTTATGATCTAAGGTCTTCTAGACATAGCTCTAGTTTGACTCTATTGTTGTTCAGCTCTACTACACACTGTGTCATTGTACTGGATCATCTTCTACCCTCAGCACCTGCAGTAGGTCCCAGCTGTAGCAGTACAGTCACTGTGCAGTCTGACTGAGGGAGGTTTTGTTTTTGTACGACTCTGTATCACTGTGTGAACACATATGTACTATTTGGATAGTGGAAACTGACAGTAGTAATCTCCTGCATCTTCAGCCTGGACTCACTCCCAGATCCACTACCACTGAATCTAGATGGAGTCCCAGACTGAAGTGTTTTAGCATAGTAAATAAGGAGTTTACTAGTATTATACTCTATTGTATAATACTATTATTTTATTACCATCAGTCCCTATTGTAGTGGCTGCCTGTGAGTTTTATAATTAATTTTAAGATTGGTTTTTAAATAAATCCACGATTGATTGAACACGAGTTATGTTCCCAGTAGGTCCCTCAGGTCCTCTAGCACTGGCCTTTTAACTATCCCAAAGCCTAGGACCAAGAGGCATGGAGAGGCAGCCTTTAGTTATTATGCCCACAGCCTCTGGAATAGCCTGCCAGAGAACCTGAGGGGGGCCGAAACTGTGGAAATATTTAAAAGAGATCTTAAAACACATATTTTTACCTTTGCTTTCCTTAGGGTTATTTTTAGTTGTTCAGTTTGTGTCATTCTTTTGTTTTTATCTTATGTTTGTTGAGTAGTAAATATTTCAGCTTTTATTTTCATTGTTTTTTATTAGTTTCTTCCTGTAAAGCACTTTTTGTTGCATTCCATGTCTGAAATGTGCTGTATAAATTTGATTTGATTATACTAGTATTTCAGTGCTATCAGAGCCCATTATATTATACTAATTCTTCAGTATTGAGGGTGGTACTGCGAGTGATCTTTCTGTGAAGGTGCTCACACTTGTGTGAAGGAGGTTTTTGTACAGAGACCACCAGAATGAATCACTGTGGAGGACTTTTGGAAGTTGCACAAAACTGGTTCTAAAAAGTATGTACATTTTTGTCTTCCATCATACAACAAAATGTAATCATGATATTGAACAACGTTATGAGATTGTATCATCTTCTCCAGAGGAAATACTTTTATTCTATATATTTTTTGAAATGTCTGTCAACACATTGGTAGATTGGTAAATGGAAGAGAAGGGAGAGAGTTGTTCACATACCACCAAGTTTATTTGGCAATAATAACATGCGAAATAACACATTTAGATACACAATATTGCATGTTAGCTCATTGTGCTGTCAAGATGTAGCTACTACTATTTATATAAGCAACAGTTTGTATTGTATGCATAGTAGATACTAACACAGACATGGTTTAAAGGTGAACCTCATCTATAGTTTTGAACAGTAATTTGAGGTCATTTTGGTTTGTGTCTCAAAGTAGATTTGACAAAAATTAATATGGAGGTTTCATGTCAGATTTTACATTGTGAATGTTAAATGATACTGTATCCAGACTATATATGGTATCTGTTCCCTGCATGTCTTTCTAGAATTAGGGGCGGTTTCCCAGACACAGATTAAGCCTGGTCCTGGAATAAAAAGCAATCTCAGTGGAGAATCTCAATAAAAAATGCTTTTAGTCTAGGACTAGGCTTGACCTTTGTCCGGGAAACCGCCAGTGTTTTGTTGCTCTTTGAAGGCTACACTGTAGAGCATGAATGTACCTTTACATGTTTTGTCAAATAATTAGTCCAGACTTTTTTTGTTTACCTATTTCTTCATAGACTAAGTGTTTGGTTGTTCTCGGTTGTGCTTGGTTGTTCTTTGTACTGTAGCTAGTTGTTTATGCTGTTTACTGTCAATCTGAAATTGTTTTGTTCACTGATAACACAGTGGCTGTGTCCGAATACCCACATTAGTCTACTATATACACTCATTTTGGTGTTTAATCAAGTAGAATTCACTCGTCTTTTCCGACTCACGTGTTTGACGACAGCTGATAATCAGATAAATTGATGCGCTGTACAAAAATGAACGAATCACGAATTAGCGGATGCATTCGGAGTACTATGTTCAAAATTTCATATACTATAAAACGCTATTTTTTCACATACTATTTAGTACAGTAGTATGGATATTCAGACATGGCCAGTGTCTTTTCTCCCTCTCCTCTGGGGAGTTCTTCTCCCCTCTCCTAATGTTATAGGTAGTAGTAGTAGTAGTAGTAGTAGTAGTAGTAGTAGTAGTAGTAGTAGTAGTAGTTGTTGTTGTTGTTGTTGTAGTTTTAGTAGTAGTAGTAGTATGTAGTTGTTTGTAGTTAGTAGTAGTAGTAGTATAGTAGTAGTAAGTTATAGTATAGTGTGTTGTGTTGTAGTTGTCGTTGTTGTTGTTGTGTGTTGTTTGTTGTTGTGTTGTTGTTTTGTTGTTGTTGTTGTTGTTTTGTTGTTGTTGTTGTTGTTTGTAGTGTATGTTGTTAGTGTCGTTGTAGTTGTTGTTGTTGTTGTTGTCGTTGTTGTTGTCGTTGTTGTCGTGGTTGTGTGTTGTTGTTGTTGTTTGATTGTTGTGTTGTTGTTGTTTGTTGTGTGGTGTGTGTTGTTGTGTTGTTGTTGTTGTTGTTGTTGTTGTTGTTGTGGTTTGTTGTTGTTGTTGTTGGTTGTTGTTGTTGTTTGTTGTGGTGTTGTTGTTGTTGTTGTTGTTGGTTGTGTTGTTGTTGGTTGTTGTGTTGTTGTTGTTGTGTGTGTTGTGTTGTGTTGTTGTTGTAGTTGTTGTTGTTGTTTGTTTTGTTGTTGTTGTTGTTGTTGTTGTTGTGTTGTTGTTTGTTGTTTGTTGTTGTTGTTTGTTGTTGTTGTTGTGTTTTGTTGTTGTTGTTTTTTGTTGTTGTTGTTTCGTTTTGTTTTTTTTTGTTCGTCGTTCGTGTCGTCGTCGTCGTCGTGTCGTCGTCGTCGTCGTCGTCGTCGTCGTCGTCGTCGTACGTCGTCGTCGTCGTAGTGTGTCAGTACGTAGTAGTAGCTATGCTCTCGTCTCGTCTCCGTCTCCTCCTCTCTAATATGAGTTGTAGTAGCTGACCCCCCCTCTCCTCTCCTCTCCTCTCCTCTCCTCTCCTCTCCTCTCCTCTCCTCCTCTCCTCTCCTCTCCTCTCCTCTCCTCTCCTCTCCTCCCTCTCCTCTCCTCTCCTCTCTCTCCTCCTCCTCTCCTCTCCTCTCCTCCCTCTCCTCCTCCATATAGAGTTGTAGTAGCTGACCCGCCCTCTCTCCTCTCCCCTCTCCTCTCCTCGTCCTCACTCTCCTCTCCTAATATAGAGTTTGTAGTAGCCTGACCCCCCTCTCTCCTCTCCTCCTCTCCTCTCCTCTCCTCTCCCTCTCCTCTCCTCTCCTCCCTCCTCTCCTCTCCTCTCCTAATATAGGGTTGTAGTAGCTGACCCGCCTCTCTCCTCTCTCCTCCAGCTAGTCCCTCTGTCAAGCCCGCAGTGTCTCTGCTCCATCCTGTCCTCTGAGCAGTTCTCTGGGGGCTCGGCCACACCGGCCTGCCTGCTGAGCGGCTACTCCTCAGCAGCACTCTGACCCTGAGCAAAGCACGCTGGGAAGAGGGAGGCATGTACACCTGCAGGGACGTCCACAACGACAAATCCATTTAAATCAGACATTTGGTTGAGGTCCATTTGGGGACTTGGTTTGGGGGGCTGAAGTGATTGTAACTTTGAAGTAATGTTGAGGTCATAACACCTTTTGTGTTACTTTTTACTTTGCATTTGGACAGGTATTGTGTTTTCAAAACCTCTAATAACTTTTAGATGATCTTTCAGGTCATGACAAATATACAGAGTTACAACCATGATGATGATGATGATGATGATGATGGAGAACATGTGATATGAATTATGCTTTCTATCCTTATTCAAGGTTTCCTCGCTGATCAGTGTTCCATGTCACTGTCTCTTCCCCCTCAGCACCTGCAGTAGGTCCCAGCTGTAGCAGTACAGTCACTGTGCAGTCTGACTGAGGGAGGTTTTTGTACGGCTCTGTATCACTGAAGTGTTGTAGCCGTGTAAATAAGGAGTTTATGAGCTCCTTCAGGTTTCTGTTGGTACCAGGCTAGATAGTTATTACCAAGCACTGCTGGTTTTACAGTCAATAGTGACTGTCTGTTCTGGGAGAACAGCTATCACTGCAGGAGTCTGAGTCACAGTGACCTGTCCTCTGGATTCTGAAAAATAGAATTACAAATATTATATGAATAAATTATTACATATTGTAATCAATAGTTCTGAATAGAAATATTAACATTGATATACATTTCCATGGTGTAGATTTAATTAATTTTCAACAGTAAATTCTGAAAAGTGTCCAGATGAGGATGATGATAAAAGGCATGGTTGTTGTGGGTTCTGTTGTCATGAAGGACAGCTCTCAGTCATGAGGTGTTAAACTCACAGGGATATAAACACTACCAGAGCAGTGGAGCAGATGCGTTATGCAAATGAGTGTTTCAAATCTATTTCAGTTTCCAAGTAGGCTCCCATCATTACAATATATTTTGTCCTGCATGAGTTTGTTTTACTAATAATAGTAATTAGGTGGGTACTTATATTTGTCCCATTTCACGCGTGTATTATACGGGAATTAGAAAAATATTTTTTGGGGATATCCCAACTCCACCTGAGACATCCTCGGAGAGTGGGGTCACATACAGCATCTTTCATTATAAACAGAGACCCTGGAGCAATTAGGGTTAAGTGCCTTGCTAAAGGGCACATCGACAGATGTTTCACAGTGTCGGCCTGGGGATTTGAACTAGCAACCGTTTGGCTACTAGGCCAACGCTCTAACCGCTAGCTACCTGCCTTCCCTTTAATAACATCAAACATCAAATGTTTACTCAAATAACTAATATATGGCAACTTTTATGTCACACCATCATTTATTTTTATTCTGATGATGATCAGACATAATGAACTGTCTGTTCACTCATGCTTGGTCTCTTATGTAAGTTCCTCTAATCAGTTAGTGAACACTTCTCTAAACTAAAGCTGGTAGGATTCCTCTGGTAGTGTTGTCTGTCCTCTTTGACTTTACCACAACTGTTAAATCTGAGATCAACATATTTAATAAAGGAATATACAACATGGATCACTATCAGTACTGCTGCTGCTGTTGTCTTTCATATGGACAATATGGAGGAATACTAGCAACACTGGATCTAATGCTGGACTGTATATACAGACTAGGAGAACACCTGATACACAGAAGAAGGAAAAAATACTCATATCTGGATTTAAGATACAATTCATATTTGTATTATCTAGAAACAGCTTATATGAACTGCTTGTTTTACCTGGAAGATGTTATCAATCAATCAATCAATTTTATTTTATATAGCCCTTCTTACATCAGCTAATATCTCGAAGTGCTGTACAGAAACCCAGCCTAAAACCCCAAACAGCTAGTAATGCAGGTGTAGAAGCACGGTGGCTAGGAAAAACTCCCTAGAAAGGCGAAAACCTAGGAAGAAACCTAGAGAGGAACCAGGCTATGAGGGGTGGCCAGTCCTCTTCTGGCTGTGCCGGGTGGAGATTATAACAGAACCATGCCAAGATGTTCAAAAATGTTCATAAGTGACAAGCATGGTCAAATAATAATCAGGAATAAATCTCAGTTGGCTTTTCATAGCCGATCATTAAGAGTTGAAAACAGCAGGTCTGGGACAGGTAGGGGTTCCATAACCGCAGGCAGAACAGTTGAAACTGGAATAGCAGCAAGGCCAGGCGGACTGGGGACAGCAAGGAGTCAGTAGTGTATTTGTGTTGATTATGATTCTGTATGAGTGATCTTCACTGTAACAGCTGCAGCATCACAACACAGAGAGGTTTTTGTACCAGCAGTAATAGGGATTGTATCACTGTGGTGGACTTTTGGTAGCGGCACCAGACTTGATGTTGGAAGTAAGTAAACAACAAAAGTAACTGTTTTATTCACCTTTTGATCTTGTGTTTCAATTTCTCTATCAATTTATCCTCGAATATATTGAGGATTTTTTTACTTACATTTTTTGGTTGATTTCTGGACAAATATACTAGGCCTACACATACTATGGCCATTTTGAAAATAAACGCAAATACATCTTATCAAATTTGACCTGCATTTTTCTGTGATGAGAGTGATTAGCCTACATTTTAGATTAGGTGTATGAATAAACATACTGCACCTTGTAGGAAATGTTCAATAAACAGGTTTAGCAGTTTTGGGGGGAAAACTAAACAAAAAAACACTTTATTTCAAATGAACAAGATAAAATTATCTTTGGCAAGTATTCATACCATATTAGAGTCAATGATTTCAACCACAGTCTAAAGAAATGTAGCTTGCCCAATGGGCAGGAGGTTTTTGTACAATCAGTAATAGGGATTGTATCACAGTGGTACACTTTTGGTAGCGGCACCAGACTAGATGTTGGAAGTAAGTAACAAGCTCTCTTGATATTTCTTTCTGATTACACTTATTAAGTATGTTATTCTTAAACTCTGTCTCTATGAAAATATTGTGATTTTAGATTTTCAAAATGTTTTAATTGCTTTTGACTGACCCTTCTTTCTAATACAATTTTATTGAATCGAAATATTTTAATTGTAGGTTTATTTCTGTCTGATTGTATGATTGCAGACTATAACTCTTAATTCTGGTATGATGACTATTTAATAGCATTGGATATAGTAGTCATTATTGTTGAATTGAGTTCATGGTAGCCTTCACTGTTAGTGTGAAGACAAAGGATCTCAGTTATGTTTGTAACAGACTTCATGATCTACCAAGGTTGATATGCGATTAAAACTCATCTATGCTCAGATTTTGCAAATACTATGAATATGGGAAGGCTATTCTGACCAGATCCATTCCTAAACAATATCTGTATGACATGTATAACTGACACCGTATGACTAGTAACTCTAGTTATTTAACCACTTTGGTTCATAAATCTGCTTCGTATCATATTACTTTTAAACAATCTAACTTTTACATTCATATTTAGAAGGCATTTCCATTTCACTTTATTTTGATGTGTCCTTTGCTGAAGATAATCTCTTACTGTAACTGTACTTGATGTAGTTACTTAGTTGATGTGTTCTGTTTCTTCCAGGTAACAGTTCCCCCACCCTCACCGTCCTGCCCCCCTCTAGTGAGGAGCTGTCCAGTACAACAACAGCCACACTGATGTGTCTGGCCAACAAGGGCTTCCCCTCAGACTGGACCATGAGCTGGAAAGTGGACGGGACCAGCAAGAAGCAGGAGGCCAGTCCCGGGGTCCTGGAGAAGGACGGCCTGTACAGCTGGAGCAGCACCCTGACTCTCACTGCCCAGGAGTGGACCAAGGCAGGAGAGGTGACCTGTGAAGCCCAGCAGAAATCCCAGACTCCAGTCACCAAGACCCTGAGGAGGGCTGACTGTTCTGGGTAGGACCCCTCAGTCACACACCCCTGTGGAGAGAGGATGCTGGTTCCTCTGCTTTGACTAGCTTTATTCTAAAATCAGTCGTTCTCTGATTTAGAGATCACTCTGGTGTGGACTAACAGGGGTTTGGCTTGAGTTCATGTGTCAATCCATTCTGTAGATTGAGATTTTGTTCGTTTTAGATTTGATGTGATCTGCTTTTATTCACTATCATGTTTGCTTTGATGCTTCGATTGTGTGATAATGGATTCAAATAAAGATTTCTTTTTGGAATGCATATTTCTGTTGTTTTTATTAATAAACTGGATCATAGATACTGTATATTTGCAATATTCTGGAAAAATATGTATTCAGTAAGGCTGATTAATGATGTCTTTAAAAACTGTCAAGTCTAAAACTCACTCTAACATCATAATTGACCAGTAAGTAATACTATCACAATATACTATGATATAATAGAAGAGCTGCTGCAATGATAGTAGTTGACTGTCTTCATTCATCAGGATACGGAGTCTGGGTCAGACGTGTTTGACTTGACAGACTTTACAGTAATAAAATAAGAACTATCAAACAGTCAACCGATATCTTGGACTCTCACGTGTGTTATAGGCTTTGATTTGAAGCTAAAAAAAAAATGACAAATTACAACTATTACAAGTGGCACTACTTCAAGATATAGCAGCGTTTCCCATACTCGGTCCTCAAGGGGTGCACATTTAGTTTTTTGTCCTAACACTACACAGCTGATTCAAATTATCATAACTTGATGATTAGTTGATTATTTGAATCAGGTGTGTAGTGCTAGAGCAAAAACCAAAACGTGCACCCCTTGGTGTCCCGAAGACCGAGTTTGGGAAACGCTGCTATATAGTGTAGTGACAGTCTTCTCTACCTCCAACCCCCTGGGAACAGAGTGAACATCTGGTGACAGTGCTGCTCTATTCTGGGACAAGCAGAACCACCCAACCTTGTCAATGTAAATATAAGTTTCACTCCCACAGATACCAGTGTAGTAGTTGAACAGTTTCTCTGCCTGAAATACCCTGGACTGGGCCAGATGTGAGGGAGTGGACTGGTTTTAACCTCTATGGTGGATTCAGGGAGGGACTCATAACAGATATGCCACCATGTAATTAATGACAGATAAAATGGATATTATACTTTACATAGATAGTGTATGTAGTGTACATGTGTCTCATGTTTGAATCCAACATCATGTCTCATTCACAGATCTAACAGTCAGTAACCTGCTCATGAAAACAGTTAATATAACGGTAGAAGATCACAATTTAAATCAGACATTTGGTTGAGGTCCATTTTGGGACTTGTTTTGGGGGGCTGAAGTGATTGTAACTTTGAAGTAATGTTGAGGTTAGAACACCTTTTGTTTTACATCTGTAGATCTTGCTTTACATATAATGTGTTTCAAAACTTCAAATAAATGTTATACACACTTAAAGGCCATGACAAATATAACAAGTTAAAACCATGATGATGATGTTAATGATGATGATGATGGTCATGTGAACTGAATGATTGCTTTCTAACCATATTGTCACATGTCACAGTTGACCTCATCTAGTGTTCCATGTCACTGTCTCTTCCCCCTCAGCACCTGCAGTAGGTCCCAGATGTAGCAGTACAGTCACTGTGCAGTCTGACTGAGGGAGGTTTTTGTACGGCTCTGTATCACTGTGTGAACACATAACCATTGTGGTAACTCTGACAGTAGTAATCTCCTGCATCTTCAGCCTGGACTCCACTGATGGTCAGAGTGAAGTCACTATGAGATCCACTACCACTGAATCTAGATGGAGTCCCAGACTGAAGTGTTGTAGCATAGTAAATAAGGTGTTTAGGAGCTCCTCCAGGTTTCTGTTGATACCAGGCTAGACGGTTATTGCCATAGACATCACTGCTGGTTTTACAGTTCAGAGAGACTGTCTGTCCTGGTAGAACAGCTTTCACTGCAGGAGTCTGAGTCACAGTGAACTGACCTCTGGATTCTGAAACAGAGATGGCATGTAGAAAGAGCATTCAATTGTTAATACATTTTTCCATGTAGCATATGAAATAAAACTGTAATGAGGTTATATAGCGCAATTGTCCGGGTAATTTTCTGTAAAATATATTACCTTGGAGACAGAGGGCAAATATCCAGATAAAGATGGTGATAAAAGTCATGGTTGTAGTGGAGTCTGTTGTCATGAAGGACAGCTCTCAGTCATGAAGTGTTAAACTGACAGGGATATAAACATTCCCAGACCACTGAAGCATGTGCTGCCAATGCAAAGTGTCCTCTCTATGCAAATGTGACTCCTGGAGCAAGGCAGATAATGTATGCCTCATTTGGTAATATACAGTGAGGGGAAAATGTATTTAGTCAGCCACCAATTGTGCAAGTTCTCCCACTTAAAAAGATGAGAGAGGCCTGTAATTTTCATAATAGGTACACGTCAACTATGACAGACAAATTGAGAAAAAAAAATCTAGAAAATCACATTGTAGGATTTTTTATGAATTTATTTGCAAATTATGGTGGAAAATAAGTATTTGGTCACCTACAAACAAGCAAGATTTCTGGCTCTCACAGACCTGTAACTTCTTCTTTAAGAGGCTCCTCTGTCCTCCACTCGTTACCTGTATTAATGGCACCTGTTTGAACTTGTTATCAGTATAAAAGACACCTGTCCACAAACTCAAACAGTCACACTCCAAACTCCACTATGGCCAAGACCAAAGAGCTGTCAAAGGACACCAGAAACAAAATTGTAGACATGCACCAGGCTGGGAAGACTGAATCTGCAATAGGTAAGCAGCTTGGTTTGAAGAAATCAACTGTGGGAGCAATTATTAGGAAATGGAAGACATACAAGACCACTGATAATCTCCCTCAATCTGGGGCTCCACGCAAGTTCTCACCCCGTCGGGTCAAAATGATCACAAGAACGGTGAGCAAAAATCCCAAAACCACACGGGAGGACCTAGTGAATGACCTGCAGAGAGATGGGACCAAAGTAACAAAGCCTACCATCAGTAACACACTACGCCGCCAGGGACTCAAATCCTGCAGTGCAAGACGTGTCCCCATGCTTAAGCCAGTACATGTCCAGGCCCGTCTGAAGTTTGCTAGAGTGCATTTGGATGATCCAGAAGAGGATTGGGAGAATGTCATATGGTCAGATGAAACCAAAATATAACTTTTTGGTAAAAACTCAACTCGTCTTGTTTGGAGGACAAAGAAAGCTGAGTTGCATCCAAAGAACACCATACCTACTGTGAAGCATGGGGGTGGAAACATCATGCTTTGGGGCTGTTTTTCTGCAAAGGGACCAGGACGACTGATCCGTGTAAAGGAAAGAATGAATGGGGCCATATATCGTGAGATTTTGAGTGAAAACCTCCTTCCATCAGCAAGGGCATTGAAGATGAAATGTGGCTGGGTCTTTCAGCATGACAATGATCCCAAACACACCGCCCGGGCAACGAAGGAGTGGCTTCGTAAGAAGCTTTTCAAGGTCCTGGAGTGGCCTAGCCAGTCTCCAGATCTCAACCCCATATAAAATCTTTGGAGGGATCACTCTTTAATCTCTATTAAAACATTTCGATTTGAGATACTTTACTTTCCAAAAATATTGTTATATATTGATTTTGAAAGAGCCTTCTTTCAACAGTTTATTTAATCAAAATGTTAAATTGCGGGCATTTTTTTGTATGTTTTATTTGTATGATTGCAGACTATATAACTCTTATTCTGGTATGATAACTATAATATTTGTTATTGTAGTCATCAGTGCATTGTGTTCATGATAGCCAGAAAGGGTCTCTGTTATTTGTATCCAACCTCTTGGATTCTGCAAAATACTACAAATATGAGTATTCTGATGAGAAACGATCCTAAAAAAATATATTTATGCCAAAATAATGCTAAAGTTAAACACGTCATACTTGTATGCTTTCTGCTTGTATACTTTATACTTGTAATCTGCTTTCCTATCATACTAATGTTTGGGTTTCTTCACGTCTTTTAGCAATCTAATCTAAGTTTTAGAAGTCATTTCCAAAGTACTTTGTTTTGATGTAGTTGATGTGTTATGTTTCTTCCAGGTAACAGTTCCCCAACCCGTCCTGCCCCCCTCTCGTGAGGAGCTGTCCAGTACAACAACAGCCACACTGACGTGTCTGGCCAACAAGGGCTTCCCCTCAGACTGGACCATGAGCTGGAAAGTGGATGGGACCAGCAAGAAGCAGGAGGCCAGTCCCGGGGTCCAGGAGAAGGACGGCCTGTACAGCTGGAGCAGCACCCTGACTCTCACTGCCCAGGAGTGGACCAAGGCAGGAGAGGTGACCTGTGAAGCCCAGCAGAAATCCCAGACTCCAGTCACCAAGACCCTGAGGAGGGCTGTCTGTTCTGGGTAGGATCCCCTCAGTCACACAGCCCTGTGGAGAGAGGATACTGGTTCCTCTGCTTTGACTAGCTTTGTTCTAAAATCAGTAATTCTCTGTTTTAGAGATCACCCTGGTGTAGACTAACAGGCGGCTTGGCTTGAATTCATGTGTCAATCCATTCTGTAGATTGAGATTGTGTTAGTTTTAGATTTGATGTGATCTGCTTTTATTCACTATCATGTTTGCTTTGATGCTTCGATTGTGTGATAATGGATTAAAATAAAGATTTCTTTTTGAAATGCATATTTTTGTTCTTTCTATTAATAAACAGTATCATAGATACTGTATATTTCTAATATTCTGGAAAAAGATGTATTCAGTAAGGCTGATTAATGGTGTCTTTAAAAACTGTCAAGTCTAAAACTCACTCTAACATCATAATGGACCAGTATTTAATACTATCACAATATACTATGATATAATAGAAGAGGTTCTGCCATGGTAGTAGTTGACTGTCTTCATTCATCAGGATACTGAGTCTGTGTCAGACCTGTTTGACTTGACAGACTTTACAGTAATAAAAGAAGAACTATCAAACAGTCAACCGATATCTTGGACTCTCACGTGTGTTATAGGCTTTGATTTGAAGCTAAAAAAAATTTAATACAAATATAAATATTACAAGTGGCACTACTTCAAGATTTAGCAGCGTTTCCCATACTCTGTCCTCAAGGGGTGCACATTTAGTTTTTTGTCCTAACACTACACAGCTGATTCAAATTATCATAACTTGATGATTAGTTGATTATTTGAATCAGGTGTGTAGTGCTAGAGCAAAAACCAAAACGTGCACCCCTTGGGGTCCCGAGGACCGAGTTTGGGAAACGCTGTTATATAGTGTAGTGACAGTCTTCTCTACCTCCAACCCCCTGGGGACAGAGTGAACATCTGGTGACAGTGCTGCTCTATTCTGGGACAAGCAGAACCACCCAGCCCTGTCTATGGAAATCTCAGTTTCACTCCCACAGATACCAGTCTAGTAGTTGAACAGTTTCACTGCCTGTAATACCCTGGACTGGGTCAGATGTGAGGGAGTGGACTGGTTTTACTGTAACCTCTATAGTGGATTCAGGGTGGGGGACTTTCTTACAATGAATAAACCACCATTTAATAGATGACATAAAATATGGGTATTACTAAATATAGGCATTGACAGTTACTGACATCACATTCTAATTTCTAATTCTATGGTTACGGATATGTGTGTAATATCTGAGCTCAAAATCTTTTTCCTGAAAGCAGAGGGCAAGTGTCCAGATGAGGATGGTGATAAAAGTCATGTTTATGTGGGTTCTGTTGTCATGAAGGACAGCTCTCAGTCATGAAGTGTTCAACTCACAGGGATATAAACACTCCCAGACCTCTGAAGCATGTGCTGGCAATGCAAAGTGTTCTCTCTACGCAAACAGACTTTCATGGTCCCACAGAGAAACTGTAGTTGAAGAGATCTTCTTCTTTGGTATTATTGTGTTCGCAACAATTATGTGTATTCTGCCACCTACTGTACATATGGATAATAAGGAATCAAAAAGGAAAAAAATGTGGGGTAAAAAATAAATAAATAAATAGATTTTTTAAAATCCATACAAATTATCAGTAACGAAATGTTAATTCAACTAAATCAAAACGAAATGTGTTTTAATCAGGTCCCTACACAGGCTCAGAAGGATCCTGTGATGGCGGGACATTTCCTGGCGACAGTAGTCCTTGCAGTGCTTCTGCTGTTAAGTCTTCTCGGCTGCAGATATAATGATGTCCAGCTTCTTAGACACGTGTGCAGTACAATTAATAACTGTGGCTATAAATACTACAAAATACACCTTTTTCACAATAAGTGTATCCAGATTACTTGATTGAAGTATAACATTTGCAACTGGTTGTGGTGCATCCACCACCATATCTTCTTCAGAACTTCAACGCTCTTCACCACCTCCACATAGGAGATTTGCTGTACAGCCCTGATCCTTGACACCTCAACCTCTTTCACCCTAACAGTACACTCAGGGTATTTGGAAATATGATCCCCGCCACAGTTGAAACATTTTACATTCACAATAACATATTCTCTTCAATAACATATTCCTTCCATCTGCAAACACTTGACACATGGCCAAACGTTTTACACTTTTTGCATTGCTTCGGGTTTTGCACGAATGCTCTTACAGCGTATCTTATATCCCAACTTTACATAGGGTGGTAAATACTCATCAAACATCAATAATACAGATAAACGTTGCTCCTTTTTCCCCATTCTCCATACGGGTCAAGTGACATGCATTAACTACTCCTGGAATTCTTTGCCTAAGATATTGATTATCAATGTCCAACGCAGTGGCGGCTCCTGAAAAAAATCTCAGGAGGGGCAATTTTTCTGATGATTTAGGTGACCTACACACATTTCAAAAAAGATATGTCCAGCAACAACATGAAGACAGGGGCAGCATATAAGTCAATACCAGAAGCATTTATTGACTGATCTGGGGAGATGGATTCCAGTTTCTGTGACAGATTATAAATAATCTCTGATGCCTTTGTTATATTAGCTTTTGGTTGAATGTACTGTCGTAGTAAATATATAATGTTATAGCTTGGTCTGACTAAAATCTTGTGCATGACCCATTTTGTGTTGGGCCTTTGTATTCAATACAATGAACAAGAGTCCTATCTTGTCAGCCTTGTCAGCAGGTGGCTAAGGATAACACCCACGCCATAGGTCTCTCAGTTCTTCCAACTCACGAGTTCTTGCCCTGAGGACACACACACACACACCCACACACACACACACACACACACACACATCATCACTGATAAACACACACACACACACACACACACACACACATCATCACTGATAACAAACACACACACACACACACACACACACACACTGATAACAAACACACACACACACACACAAATCCTCTTCTCTTAGGCTGAACATCTGAAGACAGAGAACCCGACTCAGAGCCAATGCAACAGTGACACTAGCCTGGAGGTGACCTCGCCCAACTCATCAGGACCAATCAGAAGATCAGAACTACTAGATTCAACCTACTTCATTTTATTGTATAAAATGTCAGCACACAATGTTTAGGGGCTCTTCTGATAAACTCCCTACGAGTTTGACGAACGGGTCCGTGCACGCGATTCCAGATATCTTTACCTCTGAATAAACTGCCTTATATTATACAATTATCCACCTTGTCCAAAAGTCTCTACTTGTTCTCCGTTCTCCAGTAAACTTGTTTTATCAACAATAGTAAGGTTCAATGACACAGAAAGCAGTTCAATGTCGGGGTACAGAGTCGCTCTCTTACCAGGATCGCGGCCGGCTCCACCTCTCTGTCAGGGACTCTGTCATCCAGCCAAGTCTCCCAGCTGTATTGGGATTCCGCTGCCAGCAGCGTTTTCATTATTTAGTCCGTTCGTAGCGGGTATGTACACGATCAACAAGATCAGTCCAAAACCGAAGATCAGTCCAAAGCAGAATGTTTGCAGAATGTTTGTAAACTAAGTCTACAAATTAAAAACATAAAATAACGCCACACTACAGGTCGCAACAGAGACGCTGCTAGCCGCCATTGTCTTAGTTACGTTCAACGTTACGTCACGTATGACGAAAGCACGTAAGTGCAAGCCCACAGACACCCATAGAGAATGTATTGAAAGCTTTGAAATGTGAAACAAATAGATTTTACATGACAGGCTATGAGAGACTTCTGGGCGATTTTCAACCTGACTGAAATCGCCCAAAAAACGGGCGGGGCCATTTGAAGCACGACTTTAGCCTGATTTGACATTTAGTGGCTGGCAGATCAGACGTGAACACTGATAACTGCTGTTGCCGTGATATAATTGATTAGAAAAAAAATCCCTTCCTTTTCCCGTTTGGCAGTGCGTCGCCCATATCGCCCTATTGAACAAGCCGTCCCTGGTCCAACGGGACGCCAGAAATAACACCTTTTACCGGTTTCCTGCTCCGAAAACCAAAGCTGTTCACTTCATGCGTCGATATTTTCGCGAGCCACAATGCACATTCCTTTTGCTCTTTAGATACACACCATATCAACACCTTACCACTCCTGGTTACTATGATATCAACACCATACCACTCCTGGTTACTATAATATCAACACTATACCACTCCTGGTTACTATGATATCAACACCATACCACTCCTGGTTACTTTGACTGCATCCACGTTTCCCAACGCCTACTTCACCATCCTCGTGACTTCAAAAGGGTTTCCCAAATAAACATCTTTATCCAAAAAACGTACTCCAACAAGCAACGATTCATCAGACTCATTTTCCACAACAATTGTAGCCCTTTCTGTTCCATTCTTGGACTTCACTATTGTCCACTAATTTTTCTCACTAACTGTTCAGCTTCAAACGAAACTTCTTCTTTCACCATCTCGATGTATGAGCAGCTGACCTTTAAAAAGTTTGAGAGCTGATTGTCCAGCCAATCATGGCCTTGATTGGTAAATGAGCCTCAGCTGGAATCAATTAAAGACTGGGAAGGTGCTGGAAGATAGCAGGGCGTGGCAGGAACGAGGTGTTGTACTAACGGTCAGGCGTTTAAGAAATATATCATTGATTTAGAGATTAAACCTGATGTGGCTTAGACCACATCTTGATTAGATTATTCCTGGTTATTGTTCAATCAGATCTGATAGATCAACTGGACAGGGTGGTATTTTTACTATGTTCATAAGAGAAGGTCTTGTATATCGTAATATACCTGTCCCATCTGAATATGAATGTGTGATGGTGGAAATATACATTGCAGGTAGTAATATTAAGTTGCACAATCTTTACAACTGTCTGTAGCGATGTTTTATGAAATATCAGGAGAAATGGGCTCTAGAGAGATATGGTGCTGCAACTTTAATGCACATAATAGTTTATGGGGAAGCACACATACTGATGCTGATGGTACTATTGTGGAAGATATGATGGAAACGA